TTCTCTCGGTCGAGTTGTAGTCTGCTAGCCCACTGACCCGCGACACTAGCGATACCACAATCGCTTGCGTCTGTCTCTAAGTGCCACGGAAGTGCGGGATCTGGATGGTACAACATCCTGCGATTCCTTCTTCAGGTTCACGAATGCCCTTTCTTGATCAGGTCTCCATGTCCATGGGACCGCCTTTCTAAGAAGACAACTGAGAGATTCCGAACATTCCGTGAACCTATAGGGGTAAAGTTCCGGTCGTAATTAGGTACATAGACTTGAAAATGTCATAACTTCCTTCTGATTTCGGGGCACCATACTATAGTCAACAATAGCTTGGATTCATTCCGGATCAGGTCGAAAGCCTACAATAGATATCAGATAGCCTAAAAACGACATTTCTCTCTGAAAAAATCGGCACTTTTAAGCGCTGTGTATTTGTAACCATATAAATTATTAGAAATGATAGAACGAATTTTTGGAATGAATGAAATGAAAAATGTGTGCGCTTGTGTCGTCCAAAACCATACCCCAAAAAACAAAATAAGTACCGTTAACGGGGGTGAAACGGATATATATATATAGTGGGGTGAAGAGGATCGTAGGGTAGTTTCATGTGAGCAAGCAGGTTTCTATATACAACTTGTGTTCATTAATCAAATAGCTTATTAATATAACCCAGTCATCAAGTTTGTTTACACACAATTTGTATTTAGAATATGGTCTGTTTTTGAATGTTTGACAAAACCTACCAGGGGATTCATCCATAGAATACATACAAACAAAAAAACGTCAAACAAACATAAACAATAAGTCTGTTGTCAATCGTTTGAGCCGGAAATAAAATTTTCAGGTTATATTTTCAAAAAGTTATGGGGAAAAAACGAATAAGCTCACTTGTTACAAGGTGGAGCAGCTCACGTGTAACGTGAAGAAAATATGCCGATAGTTTTAAAAAAATTGTGAAAAAAAGGATTTGCCAGGAGGCAAACGCAATTATAACATGGAATATTCAAAGAGGGCTATGAAAGCTGTCAAGAGGAGTCGGCTGAGAATAAGGAGAGGGCGTCCGAACAGTTCGCAGTCCCGTTCACCCCCTTTAGACGTTGATAACTATTTCCATGTGCTTTTGTTCGCTTTTTTGTTAGTAATCAATTTATAATTTTCAGAATGAATTTCCTCGATATACAGTTGGGGTCAGGATTGACAGCATTAGGAGTTGCCTCTAACACTATATAGTGGCAGATAAGAGTCTGAATCAGACATTATTGCCAATTATAGGCGATGCTTGCAAGATACTAACAGATCTGCATTACAATATGTCAAATGGTAGGAGGTGCCAAATAACTCCAGGTCTCAGCAAATTGGCGAAGATGTGGAAGAGACTAACCAAATTGATGAATATCTATTCGGTGCATGTTGATTTCACTGAGGAATATAAAGCTAAAAAAGCAATACAACTATCTAGCAAAGACAGCAAAGCCACAGTTACTCCTCCTACATCTTTTAAAAGACCTTTGCAAAGGAATCAAAACCATCAGGCAGCAACAGCATCCAGCCATAAGTTATTCAACCCTTTAAACAGGAAAGGCCCGTCCAGCTACCGGAGAGAACAGTTGGGACAGAAAAGGCAACCATTCTCTCAAAAGAAGTTCAGAGACTACAGGAGGAAGACATACAGGAGGTCAGAACGGTAATTGAGGAAAAACAATCATCAAGTGGAAATTTGACTAATAAAATTGAAAACTGGAGAATTCTGAAACTAAATAGTTTGATACTTAGTTGGCCCCAGGGTTATAAGATACAATTCATAGAAAAGTCAAAGCGAACACAGAAACCACACTGTCCTAGGCTGCAGGAACCAGACAAATTGGAGATGACAAGATCCAAGATCTACTAGATCATCAAGTGATTAGAACCTGCAAACCTAAAAAAGGACAGTTTTTATCAACATATTTCTTGACAAAAAAGGCAAATGGGGAAAATAGAATAATATTAAACGAATGAATTTATTGTAACTTAACATTCCAAACTTGAAGACATCCGAACAGCGTTACGGGTGGAGTATAAAAACTGTTATATGTCTACAATTGATTTAAAATATGCATATTACTCTAAATGGGACAAAGCTGTTGGTATTGTAGTGGTTCCTAAGTGGGAAGCACCGCTTCGTTTCCCACTATTTTATTGATAAACCATTGATATTTGAAGCAAACTCTAAATTATTATTTGGTCCTTCCATCTCAGCCAATCTAGAATCTTTATCAAAATCCACATTTAAACAATATAAGACAACATGTAAATCCTGGTGGAACTATATTGTAAGGTGAATGAAGTGAAATACCTAGAAGCTGGTGTGTATGGAGCTGTAGGATTCCTCCAGAAACAGTTAGGAGAGAAGCACCTCTGTCTCATTACAGCTTCCTAAATTCTTACAAGTCAGCACTCTCGTTAATACTACCCACTAATGTGGAAAAAAATGCCGAGGTATGTAGGTTTCTCAGAGGAGTTGCACGATTAAAACCCCCCAAGAAAAAATATGACTTTATTTGGAATCCTGAGGTTGTTATTAGACACCTAAGTACTCGGTACCCCAATGAAAGTCTGGCAATAGAGAAGCTAACAAGAAAACTGGTAACCTTTATTAGCCCTGATTACTGCTTATAGAATACAGACGTTAACTTCAATCAACGTAGAAAATATTATGTCTCCTGAGGAGATACAAATTCTCATAACCGATAATATTAAAACTAGCAGAACAAGGAATGCACAACCATGTCTACATATTCCCTTCTTTTCTGAGAAACCTGAGATATGTGCAGCTTCCTGCCTTTCAACGTACATTGAAAAGACTGCTTCATTGAGAGTAAAAGCTAAAATCAAGGAGCCCCATCAAACGGCCTCAACGCAGAGTGAAGTAATAGATTAATGAGGGGAACTTTAACGGAAGCGGGTACATATAGACACTAGGATGTTCACTAGATACTCCACCAGACATGCTGCAGCTTTTAGGAATGGCCAGTTCTGTTAGAAAAATGCAGGTTGGAGCAAAAATTCTTCGGATTTCGCCTGATTCTACAACCGTCCACTAAGAATCACTAGAGCATTTGCTGATGCAATTCTGAAATCAAAGTAGTGAACAAATAGGGGAGTTCCCCAACTTTAGACCATGTCAAATGAGTTGGGTAATATGGATATAAAAATTGTATAGACTGTTGGCCCGCGACACAGGGTTTATCGATGTTCTAAGTCGGTATGCCATTTAAGGGACCCACTCACTCATTCCGAGTTAACAATAAGAAGTGCCTCGGAGAGTCGCGACCCAGTCCTTGCCCCGGCCCTGACCTAACCTTTCAGTTGGAAAAAAGTTCAAAATTTTGTTTGAGAAGAAGCTCGGCAATGAAGTGCAATGATCTTATCTTACGAAAATTGGGGCGCTTGCCGGTTTGCATACGCCTAGGTCACTCCCCAAGGGCGGCATACGAACCGGAAGTGGGAATTTTTCAGTGTTATAGTCGATGATCGAAGAATGTATGCCCTTTGGCGAAACAATGAATTCTGGCCCATTAATCAGTTTCCCGACATTTGCATACGATTCCGGAGAGGGGAGCTCGGCTCATTCGAACATCAATTGACTAGACATCTTTAAAATAATCGATGATTTAAGTTCGTATGCAAATCTCTAGACCGATAAACTAGGATATACTTTATAACTGGCTGCTATTTGCATACGAATTCAATGTGAGCATATACGTTGTAATAATCGGGCAAACCCGCGCGTGCCTCGGTCCGGCGCGGCGCCCCGCACTTCAGGCCAGAGGTGCATATTTTGTATTTTTATTATTTGAGGATTTTGTTTTTTATTTACCATAATTGTTTGTGTTACGTTGATAAAGTCCACTCTTATTTCAACATTAAATGTGCTTTAGAAAATACACAATGGTGACGTATTAGGGATCGAACAGGTGATCAAGAGGACGTGGCGCTAAATTATAATTTAACGATTAAACGAGCTTCCAAGTGAAGTTCGATCGTAATTATAGGAAATTCCCGCTGACTATTTTCCCCCTCTTTGAACTTTATGGCATTAAAGGGCGGGAAACTGAAATGACAGCAGTTTTATTCTTCTTCTTACTTTGTGGTCAATTGAGTAAGCTGGTTGTACTACATAGTGATCAATTCGGACTAGGCGCTTCTTATAATTACGATCGAACTTCACTTGGAAGCTCGTTTGATCCTTTAATCTAATTTAAGACAAATTCAGACACTATATTTCAATGGTCATATGTCAATACTACTATGAGTCTTCATTTGATTTTCATCAATGTCAGATTCGTAGTCCATGGTCAGATTTCTTGTTTTTGCTAGAAAAATTGCGAGAAATGGGTAGATTTGCCAAGAAATGGCAAAATAATATTTTTCATTTTAAGCCGTCTTCTAGCCATTTTTCAAAGATCATTTAGCCGTTTATAAAATTGGCTGTTGGCAACACTGTATCGCGCACTGAATCAGCACATTCAGTATGTCTTTCTTCAGCAGCCTACATATTAATCCAAGAGCCGGCTGCAAATTTTGACCGTCATCTGATAACGAAATGATATGTCCTAAGGGCATGTGAAACCATTGTAGTTTATCGAACGGCACCTGTGCCAATCACTATCCTGAGGAAAATGATTGAAAAATTGCACTTTCTGTTTTAAAGTTCGAAAGATTCATGTTTTGTGTACCTGACTCCCTCTATGTTTTCTGTTTCCAAGCAATGAATTGACATATCCTCCATTAGATGGCGTTGACTACAATCAAATGTTTTCCTGTAACCCTGTCCTGAATAAAGCTGGTTCATTTTCTGTTGCCGAAAAACAATAAGCGTGTTTTCGTTCAACCTGACCCCATTTTTCACTTCCCAGTGCAGTGCTAAATCTAAATATAGGCACCTATACTGTGTTAGTGCAATCCAGTCAAATAGACCATATGTTTTGGAATATCTATGTTTCAATCTATATAGTACCAACCTCTAGTTTTCTCATATATATTGGTATCATCTTCTGGACAAGGGGCAATTTTCAATTTACCTCGTTCATTTTTCGTTATGATCCACCCTGTAAAGGTCAATAATATATGATTGTCCCCTCAGTTAGCGAGTTTTATTTTAGTTTCAAACCTTCATTCTCATCTAGCAAGCCACTGAATGATGCACACAAATTATCTTCATCCATGTTTATTTATCGTATTACAGAAAACATGCAATTTTAATTGGTACCTAGATTTTTCATATTTTCATTTCATTTCTTCGTATCTGAAAAAGATTAGTAGAGTTATTGGTGCCCATGGGCCCACCAAGATATGTACCACCAAGTGCTTCATATCATAGAGTTCCTCAATGTAATAATATAGATTACATACAGAGTGGGCCTTTGAAAACGAAACAGAGGCTCTGTAGGTCGCCAAAACCGGATTATGAAAAGAATCTGAAACACGTCAACTACGTTTTCGAGGGGGACATCGTCCTATTCGTCCTACAATATTTTCAGCCCTGCGGCGTTGCCGCTGCTAACGAAAAGAAGCAACGACTTTGTTATTTCAAATGGAACACCTTGTATTTCATTGCATTTTTAGATTCTCCCCGAAGAGCTGATTTCATCAATGCATCACACTTGGGGTCTAGCTGTAATGGTTTCAGGGATATAAAGTGTTCAAAATCGAAATTTTTCAACTTTGACATTTTTTTGTGTCGAAACTTTTCATTATTGGTCGAAACGGCTCTCATGTCCCTATCTCAACTTGTGATTTACTATCTACTGACATTTAACTGGAACAGATACAGGGTGATCAGAATTCTGAATCTTGAACCACCCTGTATTTGTTTCAAATAAATGTCAGTAGATAGTAAATCAGAAGTTGAGATCGGGACATGAGAGCCGTTTTGTCCAATAATGAATAGTTTCGACACAAAAAAATGTTAAAGTTGAAAAATCTCGATTTTGAACACTTTATATATCCCTGAAACCATTACAGCTAGACCCTAAGTGTGATGCATTGATGAAATCAGCTCTTCGGGGAGAATCTAAAAATGTAATAAAATACAAGGTGTTCCATTTGAAATAACAAAGTTGTTGCTGCTTTTCTTTAGAAGCGGCATATTTTAGAAAGATGTCCCCCTCGAAAATGTAGTTGACCTGTTTCAGTTTTTTTGATAATCCGGTTTTGGCGACCTACAGAGCCTCTGTTTCGTTTTCAAAGGCCCACTCTGTATATATCGAAGACTGGAAACTTTGGCACGATAATACTCTACACTGTTTTACCACTAACCAAACCGATTTTTTATCGCCTCGACACGTGTTTCGCTAACTATGTTAGCATCTTCAGGAGAAGATTAAAACAGTTTTAATCTCGTTTTAATCTTCTCGATCCTGAAGATGCTAACATAGCGAAACACGTGTCGATGCGTTAAAAAATCGGTTTGGTTAGTGAAAGGTTATTAGTGGTAAAGTGGTGGTAAAACAGTGTAGTGTAGATATATACAGGATGAACAGATTTTCATCAGATTCTATTTGGTGATTCTATTCCATTAAATAATATAATAATAAAATAATAAAATAATGTCCAATGAACATTGAACAATGTACTAGACTCTAGATGTAAACAAAAAGACAAAAGCAGAAATCATTGAGGAGACTTTGCTATTCGCTCAATGCGATAGCCAAGGTCATCAACTCGTTTTCCCGTAGTTTTCATGTCATCGCAACGTCAGATACCTACCCATCGAATCATCGAATTATAGATCTGGCCATGCTTGCGTCCGCAGTGATGTAAATAAATCGCACATGGCCACGCTTATAAGCGTTTTTCTACTTCACTTCAGATGAAACCATGGAAGATAATGTTGGCAATTATAGTCTCGAGGTATTTACGGAAAAAGCGGAGAAAAAGAAAATATGCTATTATCATCCAGTTAACGCACCGAGACTTACATCTGGACAGATTTGCACTATTGTAGTGCTTACTTCATTCCATAATTATCCCTTGATGTCCCTATTAGCATAATCCTTTAACTTTACATTCCAAAGCAGATGCCGCGTTTGAATTTCATTAATAAATATCTCAGTATCAAACATTTGTTTATTTTTCAAGTCTTTTGGCAACCTTGGCCATCAACAAACTGGTGAAAAACGTGTCAACAAGAGGCTGTTCCGCTGCTTCCGCTGTTCGTTTGTCGAACTCCGCGTTTGGAGCGATAATATGACCACCTACATAAGAAACTGTGGAGAGCGTTTTTCTTCGCGGCGTCTCAAAAACGCTCATAATAGCGTTTTCAAAATCAGTCGCTGTCGCTGGTCGCAAGCCTGACCACCTACATAACAGTCAATGCAATACATCACTGCCACCTGGTCGCAACGTTCGTGTCGCAGCGACCAGACGCAACCATGGCCGTACACTAAGGGAGGGGACAGACCAATGATCTGTACAGACAAATTTGAATCTGAACGACAATCAATTTGACATTTCTGTCACATATTGAGAATCTGTTTATGTGTAATTCAATTGCATTTTATTGGAAGTTTCGCGTTTTGATTGAGTGGGTTTGAAATATGAGTAAGTGTATGAGATCATTGGAGTTCAAAAATGAAATTGTTATTTGTTTGACACTGATAAGATAAATCAAGGTTGGTAGAGCTGATGATTATTACATTATACAATTATCATCAGTTCTACAAACCTTGAGGCAAATCATTCCTTTGGTCTGTTTGAATGCTTTCTACCGTAAATTCTGCCTATATCATTGCATCAGTTTTTCATTTTACACCCTAATCATTTTTTATTTGGAGGGTTGAATATGATGTTCATTTTTCGATAGGGGTTGCGGGGATTTTTTCGATAGGAAAATCGTTCCCCCTGGTCTGTCTTGATGTTTTTTACCTTATGTTATCGCAGCAGTTTTTCATTTACACCCTAAAAATATTTTTTTCAAGTGTTGGGTTGAATTTGATAAAAGTATTTTTTTCGATTGAGGTTGCGGGGATTGTTTCTATGGCCAAATCGTAAGTTAGTTCATTGGGTATGTTAAAATTTATTTCACTCTATCTCGTCGCAGTAGTTCTTTATTATATACCCTCAAAATAGGATAGTCCTGCACGAATCGCTGTTGCGTTCCAATTAACAGTGCTGCTCCTAAAGTGGCGCATGGAGTTAGTAACAAAGCCCACACAAAACACGCAGGAAGATAATGATGATGTGGTTGGGAGCATCAGAGAAGAAGTAGGACGGTGTATGTAGGTGGGTGTGGAAAACTACCAGCTGAGCGTGAGAGCGAGCCAGCTGCTTAGTAGACCTCGGTCTCGGGGGTTAACGAGGATAGTTAGCAGGCCTGCCACTGCGCATATGGTAGTGAGTACATTACTAGCCTACAAAACACAGCCGAAAAACTCTGAAAGAGAGCTCTGATGGGCGGTGCCTGAAAAGGATGTTAGCCAGCTCTCTTGAGCGAACCACATCAGTCATTGAAAACACTTGGGGTTTGCAAAAAGGTCCCATTAGGGACTAGTTGCTGACGTGGAAACGGAAACGTCCCCCACCAGTACCAGTACCAGTGCCCTCAAAATACTTTTTTTGTATTTGGAGTTTGGAGACATGAAAAAAAAAACATATTTTCCGCCACTGGGTCTTCGGCAATGTTCGGAGATTTTGGCTGCTATTAAGATGCCTAGCATTTCATGCTGCCATGTTCACACCGCTCGGACATCGTCGGATTCAGAGAGCCTTCAGTGAGTCTAGCTAGCTAGACCATAATTATCTCCAATCTCCATAAACAAAACTTGATCTTGATTTTATTTTTACTTTCATTCTACTATTTTTACTGCTTTTCCTGACGAATAAGTTGTTATTTGTGTTTCTCATTTGTATTGTGATATTCGTGATAAAGTTCTGCTGCCGATAAACCTAATTTATTTATAAATATCTTTGTATTCCATATCATCTGATTTTGAGGGTCTATCACTAGCGAATCTACAGTTTCTAACCGAATATGCCAAGTTTTTGTCTGGTAGTTAAATGCGGTAGTAATGGATTGAGAGACAGTGTAGGATTTTATAGGGTTCCTTCAATCTATGGCAATAACAAAAGAGAAAACAGCTTAGCCAAAGAAAGAAGAGCTGCTTGGGTCCAATCCTTGAGAAGGACCGATCTGACAGATAAAAAGCTAAAAAATGGGAGAATATGTTCAAAGCACTTTATATCAGGTACCTAATACATTCATCCACCTGACTTGTTTCTAAATTAGAATATCAATTTCAGGAAAACCAGCTGAACTAAATGATAGAAACAATCCTGATTGGGTTCCTTCTCTCAATATGTGGTACAAGTCCACGAATTTAAGCAAAGACAGTACAGGTGATAGATATGAGAGACTTTTCAAAAGAAAGAGGACAAAAATACTTGCACTACCTCAGGTTTGTGGAATTCTGTTTATCTATGATTTTTCATATTTTGAATAATGTTTACTTAATGAAGTTATCCTTTCAAGGTAGCTAGTACATCGAAATCTCCTCAATCAAATAGTGGTCTTCAAGGAAATGAACATGATATTTTGGATGCTGAAACCTCCCACAGTAAAGAACTTATTGAAAGTCTAAGATTGGAAGTTCTGAATTTGCAACATGACAAGCAGAAATTACTGAAAAAAGTAAAAATTTTGGAGTTTGATGTAGACAATTTCAAATCAGATGATAATTTCACTTTGTATTATACAAGTTTCCCTGAATTTGCTTATGTGAATGTTATATTTGAACTGATCGAAGATAGATTGTCTACTGCATTTGCATTAACTAAATTCAAGCAGTTCATTTTGACTTTAATGAAGTTGAGATTGAATTTTCCATTCAAAGACTTAGGATATAGATTCCAAATACATCACACAACTGCAGCAAGGATCTTCTTCAAGACTATAGATGTATTATATGAAAAATTGAAAGTGAGTTATTCTTCAACTATTATATTTTTTGCACTTCTATATTAATCATTTTCTCCATCCAGAATTTAATTATTTGGCCAGATCGTGAAGACCTCAGATGTAATGTACCTAAGTGCTTTGAGCAAAATTTTGGATCTAAAGTAGCTGTTATTGTTGACTGTTTCGAAGTTGCCATTGAAAATCCTCCAAATTCAGAAGCTGCTGGTAAAACATGGTCTAATTATGAGCATCATCATACTGTGAAGTATTTGATAGGCATCACACCT